GATACAACACATGATGGACCGCTTCTGCAAACTCTCAGATATGAGAGTAAATTGGGGAAACAAAACCCAGGGATGGTGGATTCACTCCCAGGGGGTGAGACCCCCAAAGCATCCCAAACTCCAATGGCTCCCGGAAGAAGCACCCATCAGAGTGTTGGGCATATCAATGACGGCAGGGGGGGAGGCCATCCAACAATAATGAATGGCTCACCAACCCGCCTCTAGCAAAAATGGCACTATGGAAAAACAAGCACACCTCAATAATTGGCCTATCATTGATAATTAATAACGTGGTACTGGCCTCCCTATGGTACAAGTCAGCAATTTGGGCCCTGGACAAGCAGGCCCTGCGCCCATTGAAGCGGCAAATAACAGCCTTTCTATGGAGGAGCAACCATGAGAAAGTGAACGTGATCAATCGGGTGGCATGACACTCTATAATCCAACCCAAATCCAAAGGACGCCTTGGCATTATTGACCCGCTGGTTCAGACTAGAGCACTAGCGCTACAATGGATCAAGAAGTTGATCTTCATCCCAGACATCCCCTGGAAAGGGTTAGCTTTGGAACAGATCTCCCGGCTGGCACCGCCAAGAACAGAAGGGAGTGACCCGCGGATGTGGCTGAAAAATAGGGATTGGCCCATCCCAAGGGGAAGACCGGGACAACAGGATCAGGATCCTCATACCCCCAGACAGGCAGCAAGGGCCGACCTGCGAAATGACCCGTTCTGGCCCTCTCTCCTCAAAACATGGAGAAGCCTCCCTCTGCCGGATAAAACACCACCTGATAGATGGGAAGAAGTGGCGAGGCAACCCCTGTTTGGCAACAGATGGGTGGTGGACTCGAGTGGACAAACACTTCATTGCATGGACTGGCTGATAGATCGAACATCATTGGAACAGCAAGGCCGCGCCCTCCCCTGGTGCAAACTGTGCATCAACGCGTTCCCAGCCAAAAAATGGTCGGAGACCATTGAACACATCCTGCTGCAATGCCCGGGAGCACTCTGGCTGTGGAGGTGGTGGGACAGAATCTGGGAGCAGCTAGAAACAAAAGCTCCGTGGCCGTGGGACTGGAAGGCGATATTGTTTGAAATCTGGCCCGAAGGCCACGACGATCAACTGGATGAGTTCACCCTCAACATATTCAAAATGGGACGTAGGGCTGTACTCTGGGCACTCTGGAGACGGCGCTGTACATTCAAAATGGAAGGCGCCAGACTAGAAGGGCCCGAGCTCATGGAAAACATACAACAACAGATCCAAACAGAGATCATTGCAAAATGGGAAGGGATCAAAACACGAATCAGTCTTCTTGACAAGCACAAGGACATCCTAATCAAAATCAAGGAATTTGGTACAAGCTGGCTCGGGGGCCCCGAAGGGGGGAAGTTGGGGGAGGTAGAATGGAAAGGGGTACATCCAGGACCAGGGGAGGACCAGGGGGGAAAGGAGATAATACGGGATTATCGATTGAGATTTAAGGAGTGGGCCAAAGTTGATGCGACCATCCCCCTAAAACTCCCGGGCAACTTCCCTGATTTTTTCCCCCCTCCCTCTAACTGCCTGGTAGAGAAGCAGTGGTATGGAGGATAAAAGAGTTGGTAGGAGAAAAGAGGGGACACAGGCAAGCACTTGAAGGGACGGTCAGGGAGAGATCGAATTTGAGGTGGGGGACAGAAGTGGGGGACAGAGGAGCTAGTGAATAGTAGTAGACATCTGGCGCCGTATAAGGTGAAGAAGTTCCCCACGCCCCTGTCTAGGCTGCTCAGTCAATCCCCTGATGACAGGGTAATCAATGTTGGCAGTCCTCGCTGTCACAGTTCTTATTGTTTTCAGACATTCTCAATCTCTGTACATGGGACGCTGGACCCGTTTTCCAGCAGGTGACGCTCCCCACCAATAGATGGAGCCTCCCAGCGGGTGTTAGTGGCGTCTGCTCTTATCAGCAACACTAACACTGGCGAGGGAATTTTCTGAAAAAAAAAAAAAAAGAGATGTTGGGACCCGTGCGTATGACTGCTGGGGTCCTCCACGAAAAAGACTATTCAACAAGGAATACGTGGGCCCTATTTTTTTTTCTGTGGGGAGGTGCACCATTGGCTACCTCAGCCAGCCTTCTCCAATTTTTTTTTAATATCCTATTTAGTGGGGTGCGTCGCATCACGTGCGCGTGCATGCTTACACGTGCGTTATGCGCCGCACGTGCGGAGCTCGAGCGCACGCGATACACCGCAGGTATGGGTTGGAGTATAGGCGGAGTATAGGGGTGATATAGGGGATATTGGGGGGGTAAATAAGGATGTTGAGGGCTGTTTGGGAGTGTTAGGTTGGTGTATGCGGGTATTGGGGGCCGCTATGGGGGCTGTCTCTTATACACATCTAGATGTGTATAAGAGACAGATGTAAATAGGGGATATTGGGGGGGTAAATAAGGATGTTGAGGGCTGTTTGGGAGTGTTAGGTTGGTGTATGCGGGTATTGGGGGCCGCTATGGGGGTGTGGGTGGGGTTATTAGGGGTTCTGGATCCCAAAAAAAAAAAAAAAAAAGTGCGGGGTGCCGATGATCCCCGACTGCTAGGTGCCGACCAGCCGATCGGTCGGGGGGTCGGCAGCCGACCAGTCAAGGGCCGCCGAACGTCGGGGTGTGCAACCCTGTCCTGGATGGTAATTATTGGGTTGTAGATTCTGCACTCTTCAGTTTCCGCTACTCGCACTTTCCTCACAGCGTTTCTGCACTCTTCAGTTTCCGTTACTCGCACTTTCCTCACAGCGTTTCTGCACTCTTCAGTTTCCGTTACTCGCACTTTCCTCACAGCGTTGTCTGGAAGGGCTACTTCCCCTGTTGGTTGTTGATCTAATAGGCTTGTGGTCCCCCTGGGATCTTTAATCAGGTACATATCGCAGATCAGCCAGTTGGTATCTGGGTCCCTCTTTCTTACGGAAGAGAGAGACCATGTTGGGTGCAGCGCCTGTCGTCCTTGTTGCCCAGTCTCCTGGCTTCCATTTGAACGGTCCTCTTAAAAGGTCCAGCCAGTTGTCTGGGACAGAGATCAAGATGTTGTTCAGGTTTTCTTGCAGGTTGTGGCAGCCTTTCATGATTTGTCTCAGTTCTCCCATGGCTTTCCATCTTCCTTCTGACTCCAGCCAGAGGTGTTTGATTTGCCACACACCTCTCTCTCTACCCAGGTACCCCATTTGGAGTCGGTTGCTGTTAATGTCCAGGGCTTCCATTGGGGGTTTAGGATCCATTGGTTGCAGAAGAGGGGTTGTCTGAGGACTTCTTCTTTGGCCATAGGTTCACTTTACCTTGGCCGGGAAGACTTCCCTCCATGTTTTCAGCAGATTCTGCGGGAAGTTTTGGTTCTTTTCCCCTTCTGCTCCTTCGGCTCGGTATATCCCTGTGGGATTTTCATCGCCCAGGATTTGGATATTATCTAGAACCGACCTTGCATGTTGTCTGGGGTTTTGAATTTGGCTAGTTGATTTATCCTGCGTAATCCCAGATTGATCCACCGGAGATTGATGTTTGTTATGAATTTCGTAATCCATGTGGTTTACAAGGCTTTGATTTGTGTTTCCGGGTCAAGGACTCCCAGTCCTCCCTGTGATTCCCTCAAGATAGTATATTTTTGCGCTACTTTGGAGATGAAGTGTACCCTAGACAGGTTCCCAGACCAGAGAAATGCGGCTTCCCTTCTCCTGAGTTGAGAGAAGGTTAACGGAGACCCTAATTTTCAGACCACTTGCCATGCCATTTGTATGAAAACCAAAGGGTCATTTTAATCAAACTTGCCACCACTTCGTAGAGTGGAGACCATACTAACTAACTTGTGTGGGCTTTCCGTTGTTTTGGGGGGCTCCAGATGGTTGCTGTGTACCACAACATTGAAAAGATCGACGTGCTCAAAATTAAGGCTCTTCCGAGAATTGATGTGTAGACGCTAGACCAGCTGATCTTCATGCTGCCATGCGCCCAATTCCACCTGTGCTATCCTTCCGCCCCCCCAAGCCATTCCTTGAAGACCTCTGAGATGATGTGAGATAGGTCTGTTTTCTTGGAGAGGTGTGGCAAGTTTTTATGGGTTCTTGACCATTGAGCCCTGATTCCAGTGTCTATTTCGCCCTGGATCATATTTGTGAGTACAAATTCATGCGCAGGGGGCAAAGTAGCAGAGATAAATGACTTTCACATCACTTTCACATACGGTGAAAAGACTGGCACAGCTCAGAAGCAGGGTGGAGAAGGCAGAGATCCAAGCCAGCAGAAGGACAAGATCCATCACAGGCCACATAATATTGAAGGGCAAATTCCGAGATTGCATCTTCCGTAGCTTCTTTTACTTTTCTTGCTCTTTATCATTTAACTGACAGGTTCATGCAAGGGACCTGAGAGGAAACGTGGAAGTAAGGCAAGCTGACAGTCGATCCTCCATGATGCTGGAGTAATCAATGTGGGTCAGGGTTCCTTCGGGCAGACGGAAGGAAGCGTGAGTGTGTTTCATGATGTAATATTTTATTCTGACTTGCTGGTGGAATAGAAACCGAACTGATGCTCCCCAGAATGGAAATGGAGCCAGGGCCACAAGGACCTGTTTTATGGGGGGGAAAAAACAAAAAGCACAATGCCATCCCCCCGGACTGAGAGGAGAGAGAGGGAAAGAAGAAGAAGAAAAAAGAAAGAAGAAGAAGAAAAAAGAAAGAAGAAGAAGACGATGTACAACAGCAAAGACCAATGATAATGGCCTTCTTCTTGGCAACCGCTCTCCTCCTCCTTTTATCCTCCCCTCTTATGCAAACAATAAATAATAATAATAATGTTGAATGGCTGAACCAGAATCAATGTCTGAATCCCTCTTCTACTGCAGGTACAACATGAGGTCCACCATAGCCATGGCCACCCTTCTCCTTCCTCTTCCTGAAGGCCGAGGCTATGGCTGACTGCTAGGGCCTTGCCCTGATGTGCAAAAAGCAGCTATGGCTGCTCTAGCGCAGGCCGTCATGCCTGACTCTGCCTCGAAGCTTCTTGGTGTAGCTCTACGCCAACTGGGGCCTTCCAGATGCAGCGCCCACCAAGGTGACGAAAATGGCGTCCACCATAGCCAGGTAGGTACCTCTGGCGCTCCTCCGTCCTAGTCCTCGTCTTCCTCCTCCTCCAGCCTGTGCTCCTCCACCATAGCTGAGGTGGGGAGCTGGGCGCTCCTTCTTCCCCAGCAGCGCTGCTACAACCAGCGCTGCTACAACCAGCGCTGCTACAACCAGCGCTGCTACAACCAGCGCTGCTACAACCAGCGCTGCTACAACCAGCGCTGCTACAACCAGTGCTGCTCCAGCCAGCGCGCCAAGCAGTCTGTCGCCAAACTTGCACACCATAGAATCAGACGGAGCACTTTGCTCCTCCTGGAGATAAAGCGGCCTGCTTGCCTCTTGGGCCGTGACTTCCAGGGCGTCCGGCCTCCAAGCAACCGGTACCTCCTCCCTTTCGGAGGGAAACATCATTGCAGACTCTGATATTGCCCTACACTCAGACTACTTGGACTGGTACCCGCCTAGACCTAGCCTACAACTACTGGGCCTCTAAAAATGCCAACTTTTGTCTTCTTCTGTTCGGCCTCGAGTACCCGGCACATCTACAGCTGCTTGGTGTGGTACCGGCCTACCTGCTACTTGAGTGTTTTTCCGCTGCTCTAAGTGTTGCCGACCTCCTTGCCGCCACTTGAGTGTTTTTCCTAGCTGCAACCCCCAGTGTCACGGCCACAGGTAAGTACCGGCCCTTCGGGCCTCCCGAACGAACGAGTACCCTTGCGGGTCACACACACAATCAAACCGACAAGCACTCAGACAGGCACGCAGACCAGCAGGCACGCACACACACAGACTTAGAAAAACAAGCGGGAAACTCAGCAAGGCATACACATTCCATTGGCAAAACTTAGATATCAGCTGTATGTCTCAGTCCGTGTTTGGCAGGTCCTTACATTTGCCATTTTCCCACCCGCAACATGCGCACCCTCGATGGTCACGGTGCAGCGGTGCCACCAGAGTGCCCAAAGGACTGCTTTCCTCTCTAGGCTAAACAAGTTCCTTCTGAAGTCATTGGCTTGGGTCCCCCAGTGGCCGCACAGCAGAACCCGCCAGTCCCCTGGCCACTCACAGTCTGTTTCCAGCTGCTGCCAGACCCGACCCACACCAGGTCAGGATTGCCCTGGGCACTGTAGGATAATAATCCTAAATCATTCTCAATTTCAAATCATTTGAAGTTTTGACTGTTTTGCAAAAAAGAAAAGCAACGAGTAGCAATTAAAATTTAAATTTTAAAAGATGAGAAAACAATTTCATTATCCCAAAAGAGCACACAGGAGTTAAATCAAAGGGATTCAAAGCCCAAAATAAGTGCCGAGCACCACCAGTGCTATGTTCATGCTCAGTTTCCTGACAAAGCACGAACGCAACCATGATTAAGACCGGGTTCATGCTTTCCAAGCACGAACATAGCACCAGCTAGCCTTACCCTCTGTACGTACAGATACCCCCCTAGCAGGTCAGTTGAGTATCTTGAGAATGATGAGTATCTTGAGTGTGTCGAGGATGTTGAGGATCTAAGAAGAGGAATTCACTCACCCTCATCATATCTACCAATGATCGCAAGTCTTCATCCAGACGGTCCAGTCGTTGACTCTCCTACATCAAGGGATGAGATCCATTTACACACACATGCCAATTCATTGGTACTGAAACCATAACCAGGTACATGTGAATTACTGCGTCCAGTTGGCGTAATTAGTGCAGTGCCATATTAGTGTGGGCATTAGTGCGGTAATCAGTGCAGTAGGTAGTGCAATGATTAGTAGTGCCTCCCTGGCCCCTGACTTCTCTGGGAGGAATCAGCAAGCAAGATCTATCAAAGGTGTAACCAAGTCTTCACCGGGACATGGATTTTCACTGTTTTGTCTGCAACCTGGCAACTGCCCTTTTTGGTACCAAGATTGTCATTGATTGTTCTACCTCTCTCTCTCTCTCTCTCTCTCTCTCTCTCTCTCTCTCTCTCTCTCTCTCTCTCTCTCTCTCTCTCTCTCTCTCTCNTCTCTCTCTCTCTCTCTCTCTCTCTCTCTCTCTCTCTCTCTCTCTCTCTCTCTCGCTCGCTCTCGCTCCGAACACGTTCGAGAGGCGTTCGGCCGAACAGCCGAACATGCTCGGACATGTTCGGACATTCGGAAAAGCTCCAAACATGTTTGGTGTGCTACACAGTGAAAAAGAATCAAAGCAGCTGACCGCCAACAGGTGGGTGGGTGTTTTTTTTTTTTTTGGAAACAACCCGATCGGTTGCTAGAGGTGCTGATAAGAGCAGACACCGCTAGCACTGTCGGGGAGGCTCCATCTATTACCATTTGTGACCCCCGAATGTGGAACACCAGTAGTCCACAAAACTACCGATAGGGAGAACGGTGTTTCAGAAATTCTCGCTACCACTCCCCCAGATTTATTTCAGTGGGAGGGAGGGGCGGTGAAGATAGCCGATGAAAGGTTCATGCAGGGGGAGGTAGTTTCATCAACCTTTCATGAATAAATTATAGCATAATACTGAAACAGTCAGAAACACACAAATTCAACACCCCTGAAAAAGGTTTGGAATGCAAGACGGTACTACAGTTAGGGGGCCATGCCTCTTCTTTTTCATAGAAAAGTTGGAAACAGAGAACCTATTTCCAAAGGCACCTTTTTTTGGGTGGTTTGTTAATATGGTGTCCACTGTCCACTCTTATGGAATGATGCAAATTTTGGTTAAAAATGCCTTCGGGTTTTCTTACAAATAGCATGAAAAAAAACGCTGAAATTTTGGGTCTCCGACTCTCCTTTAACCACCACTCTCCAAAGGGCCTGGTGCAGGTAAATATCACACAGGTATAACCTTTCTCCGAAAGTTTCTCGCCCTTTTGGCTAAACATAGATAAAGTGCACTGTATCTGTTCTTCTGATCAGTTTAACAGCTGATCCGTGCTCCATCGGGCCACATGATATTAAATTAGTTTTTCAAGGCTACGGAGCAGCCCGACAGGCAAAGCCTCAATTCCGGTGGTTCTCTTACCACCACGGGGATAGAGGCCTTGTGAGGGGGTTTTAAAAAAAAAAAGAAAAAAAAAGAAAAAAAAAAAGGGCTACGGAGGGGTCACAGGGATAGGCTTGCCGGTTCGACCGCTCCAGCGTGGCCTTCGTATTGCACTGCAGCGAAGCGTGGCACGGCCCATCTCCCACTGGGGGAACTTCTTTTTTTTTTTTTTTAAGAAAGGTTCTCTTTATTATCAGGGCCCAGTGCCCAAAGCAAAAATACAATTGAGCGCAAGTTTCAAATTCAGGGGTCACAAGACCTCCGGCTGCATCCAGCAAGCAGAGCCCGTCCCCTGTGAAAAAGGAACCGAAAAAGTTGACAACACTGGGGGAACTTTTAAAAATCACAGTATAGACGTGTCCCCTGGATCAAAGTTCAAACCAATGAAAAAAAAAGGTCTGCGTAGAAGAAAAAAATTGTAAAAGATAAGAATGCAAGATAGAGTGTTTGAAGACAATTGCTGGGATTTTCGCTGGTGGATAGTCTCCCAAATTTACCTCAAATAGCATTGATTTTTGTTAAAAAAAAGAGAGAATGTTTTAGGATTCTGGGGACTTCTAGCAACTCGCTTTAGGCTGTTTGATACTGATACGTTCATGGATCTGCGGTTGTTCGATGCTAGAACGACGCTGGCCGGTGCTGGGGTGTTGCCCTGTAACCTGCTGATTGCAGGAGCGTGAGGCCTGGTAGAGAGATTTGGGGATGCCTTGGGGTGGGCATTCCAAGGGACAACCAAGGGTAGCTGTTGGGACGACGCTGGCCGGAGCTGGGGCGAGTCGTGTTGCTCTGTAACCTAGCCAGGTGGGGGTGTGAGGCCTGGGAGAGCTCGACAGGGAATAAGACAGTGTTGAACAGTTTTACAGAGTTTTGTTTGGGAGTCTAGGGGTTCTGAGCATTTGAAAAGAGGTGAGTAGTAATGGATCAGAAGGATGGGGATTGCACAGGCTGGGAGTGGATGCTAGTGGCGCTGCGTTACGGACGCTCGCACCTTGGTCCCCCACTGGGGACCGGCCGGCACGGCCCGGCCTGCTCTTCACGCGACATGTCAGGACGGTTCCTTCGTCATCTGACGTGGCCTCTGAACTGACCGATTGCGCGCCACGTGGCGTGTTATCATTGGACCTCTTGGGAGGGCGGGGTCATTAAGGAGGGGAGTTACTAGGTGTGCGTAGGGGTGAGTGACGTGGGGTGAAGTACACGTAGGGGTGAGAACTGTGTGGTGGTTGGTGATGGCGCGTTCGACCCCAACATCGACGGCAAAGACAAGGACACCACGAAAGACGCCAACAGCATCGACCCCAACATCGACGGCAAAGACAAGGACAATCTCACCTGTTTCACCGTCGATCTCAACAACAACAACAACAATGACAAAAGCAACAACAACAACGACGACAACAACGATTGTGGTGATAACAACAACGATGACAACAACAACATCAGCAACAACATCAGCAACGGCGACAAAAATAACAACATCAACAACAACAACAACAACAATAATAACGGCGACGACTGTGATCTTCGTGATGATGGCGATGACTTGTGCATCCAAGTCATTCAGGTCGTCGCCACCGATAATAACGACCATTTTGCCGCTGTGCTGTCAACATTTACAACAGCGATTCGGATGGGAGTGGTCGCTGGGTGTAGCGGGCTCCTTCCATGATTTTTGTCATATTCAGTGGAGGTTGGACTTTTGGGGAAGGGATCACTCTCTGCATGTTCATGAGCTGTTCGTGCCGGCGAGGTAGCATTGCGCTCCTTCAGTGGGATCCGGGTGGGAGGTTCGCAGGGTAGGACAGCGGCCTCATTTACCCATCTGTGCTATCTAGGGGGGGCGCTATAATTGGCATATCATCTGACTTGACTGCCTTCTCTGATTTAGTATCTCAAGAGCTATCCAGGGTAGGTAATGACTTTGTAATGATTTTGGGATCCGCTATAATTGACTTTCTAACTTCCTATTCTCCATGCCTCTCCTCCTGCAAGGGTTTGTTGGCAGCTGATGAGGGTTTCCGAGTAGGGATTTGTTTTGGACTATGATGGGCAGTTAATCCCCTCGATCGAGGGCAATCAATGCTGCTCATCAGTCAATGGAGTGTGCCTACGTGTCACTTTAGGTGACCACTCATGTTTTTAGTACGATGGACACGTGGCATGTCAACTTGAGCCCTGTTTGTTTACAGACCACTCAATTCTAAATGTCAAGGGACGCTGGACCCGGTTTCCAGCAGGTGTTGCTCCCCACCAATAGATGGAGTCTCCCCGAGTATGCTAGCGGTGTCCGCTCTCATCAGCATCCCTAGCATTTACTCGGGTTGTTTTCCAAAACAAAAAAAAAAACAAAAAAGAAAAGAGGTGAGTAGTCATTCATAGTTTTTTAACCTCTCCTTTAATTCTCTTGAATTTCTTCAATAGTTCTCAGATTAATTCTCAGCCGAAGCCGGGTAATGGCCCCGGTATCTCAAATGACGTGTGCAACTCTATATGGGACGCTGGCCCGGTTCCCAGCACGTGTTGCTCCCCACGAATAGACTGAAGCATTTGTCCCAAAAAAAAAAAAAACAAAAAAAAAAAAACAAGATCGCAAAAAAACAGAAAGAATCCAAGATAGCACGACTGCCAGGGAACGTCACGGCAGTCATGTTTCTTTTCAGATTGTTATGTTTTTTGGACTTTTCCCCAGTCCTGCTTCCTTCACCGTTTCCAACTTTCCGTACTAGCCATCCTTGGGAGGCAAAAATCTTGCAGTATATTTTATTATTTTCTCTTGCGCACCCTCCCCCCAACCTTGCCCCC